ACCGATTCACCATACACTAAAATTTAAGACCGAATAGACTCGCACATAGAGTACGGATGGTTTGTCGCATTTAGGCCAGATCACAAGTGTCAGTTGACCCGGACTTATGCACGATATAACTGAAAATAGATTCGTGGTTGGTTTAACACCAAATAAACTCGCACATTGAATGCGTAGCATGGAGATCATTTCTACGAGAGTACAAGTGCGAGTTGATCCGGACATTCACCATACAGTAAGAAATAAGATTCCTAGTTGGTTCAAATTTGCACGTACAAAAGTGCGTCGCATTTAGGGGAGATCACAAGTGTGAGTTGACTCGGACTTATATCGTGTATAATTGAAAATACATTCCTCGTTGGTTCAACGGTAAATAGACTCGGACATTGAATGCAAGTGCAAGTAGATTCGGATTTATTCGCCATACTGTAAGAAATTATGTTGGTGGTTGGTTCAAGAACGAATAGATTCGCACTTGTAATGAACATTTCCAATGTATAGTAAGAAATTCAGGGGCCTGGTTGGTTGAAGACCGAATAAATTCGCACTTGAAATGAGCATTTCGGTTTCGAAATTGATAGTGCAAATGCGAGTTTATTCGGACTTATTCACCGTATAATAAGAAATTAGTTTCTAGGTTGGTTCAAGAGCGAGTAAATTCACACATAGAAAAGAACTTCCTTTTGTTTTGGCCGAGACGAAGCGCGAGTTTACTCGGACTTGTTCACCGCACTCATTTCGATTTTGAAACCGCAGGCATATCCGACAAGCATTCTTGTACGCAGGGAACTCCAATCCACAAATTTCACAACTGCAAGCATATCTGACAATTATGTAGTTTATAAGCAACTGTATGTATATCTGGCTGCCATGTCAGTGTGCCGTTCCGAAATCGTCTAAGTTATGTTTATTTAGATATAATGCATCAGGGATTAGTTCAAAATTAGCTTAATACATCGTGTTAAATGCATTGAGCTTGTTCCGTACGATTCGACTATGATAGGCGGCTACACCGATGGCGGAGTACAACGACAATACAATGGGTCGATTGGTCAGCGATGGCGCAAAGATGGAGACAGATAGAGACAGATGGAGAAAGGTGGCGCAACGATGGGGATAGATGCACAAAGATGGCACGACAATGGAGAGAGGTCGAGAAACGGTGGAGAGAGATCACACACCGATGGAGAGAGATGGCGCACCGATGGAGAAAGATGGAGCGCCAATCGAGAGAGCAGGCACAACGATGATTAGCGATGGCGCATAGATGCAGAGCTCTGGTGCAGTGATGGTTAGCGATGGTGAACGATGGTCAGTGATGGCGAGCCGACGGAGAGACCTGGTGCAGCAATGGTTAGCGATGGCGCAACGACGAAGATAAATGGCGCAGGGGCGCCTCATATCTCACTATTGACCTAGACAACATCATTTAAAGGCTAACTAATGTTTTAGATATAATGCATCCGACATCAGTTCAAAATTAGCTTAATCAAAGTTATATCCGTCGTGTTAATCCTTCATTACACATACCTGACGCTTGTTTCGTGTGATTCCACAATGATGGGTGACTGCACCGACGGCGGACTACAACGATAATACAATGGCGATGGAGAGTGATCACACAGCAATGGAGAGGGAATGCGCAGCGACGCAAAGAAATCCCGAAGCGATGGAGACGAGATCGAGCAGGAGCTATGGAGAGAGATGGTGCAGCGATGGAGAGAGTCCGCGATGGAGAAAGATGGGGAGGAGATGGATAGGGAATACGCATCGATGAAGAAAGATCACGCAAGACCGATGGAGAGAGATGGCGCAGCGATGGAGAGAGATCGCGCGGGAGTGACAGAGAGAGATCGTGCAGAGATGAAGAGAGTTCGTGACGGAGAAAGATGGCGCAGCGATGAAGAGAGATGGCGCAGGATATGGCCCAGCTCTGTGATGGCAGCGATAGCGATGGCCAGCGCTGCGATGGCACGGATATCGATGGAGAGAGATGCCGCGACAACGAAATGGATAAAGATGGCCAGCGTTGCGATGGTGCCGATAGCGATGGCGAGCGCTGCGATGGTGGCGATAGAGATAGCGATTGTCAGCGCTGTGATGGAGGATATAGTTGTGCGCAACGATGTTGATGAGCTAAGCGCATCGACGGATGTGGCGATAGTGAGCGTGGGAATGGATGCGATTCCGTTCGCAAGCGCAACGTTGGTTCAAAATGGAGCGATTGTGGACGTTCGCTATCCAACGCAGTTGACATTTGCAAAATGTCACAATGTCTGCCAGACAATATTTTATCGGTTTTCAGTGCTGACCTTGGCACGCAACAAACCATCGCGTTGGGGTTTCAGGAGCGTTCGGAATTGTGCCTCGGCGCACAACGGACCGTCGCGCCTGGCTTCGGCGCGTAACGAACGGTTGCGCTGGGATTATTGCGTCTGACCTCAGGAGGGTAACGAAGCTCCACTTTGTACGTCCGATCATGACGATCGACGACCGAAACTACGACAGCGAAAATGACCTAGACTGTCCTTTACTTTCTGGAAAGGTCATATCAATGCACGCCGGAGTTGGCGGAGAATTAAGGGCCTCTGACATGCCAGTGGCTTCGTTGATCTGCACCGTTGAATTTTGTAGATCGACGAGCAGCAATTTACGGTACCTCTTACCTTTCGAGTCCCGACCTGTCCTTACCGTTTTATAGGCCCTCGCATCTTATAGGCCCTCGCGTCCTATTGGCCCTAGCGTGCGATACGAGAACAACCGCCGAATCGAAACGCCCTATCCCCGCCCTCCATGGTCCCGACGCGAGGCCTGTTGCTGGAGAGTTCCTTTGGACGGAAAAGTATGAAAGGCGTTGCCATCCTCGTTGTATCCCTTTTGTTGTCGGCAGCTCCACAGGTCAAGTCGCGCTATCGCTACCGCGCACGTGTTGATATCTTGTCTTCACCCACCACGTCCTTCCGCCATAGCCGGTTTTGCTTTTCGCAGCGGGACTTCCATTCGCCATAGCCGGTTCACTTTTCGTAACTCGATTTCCCTCCGCCATAGCTGGTTCGCTCGTCGTACGTCCATATCCGTCCGACGTTCGTCATTCACACAACGCTGTACGAAGGTGAAATGTTATTTCAGTTGTCCTAACTGTGTCCGATGTCTGAACAAATTCCCAGATGCCATGTCTGTGCCGCATGTTGAAGCCCGAATCACTTCCCGGTTTTGTTGTTTCGCAGCTCCACAGGTCAAGTCGTGCTGTCGCCACCGCCCACGTTCTGATATGATTTTTTCTTCACCCTCCACCTCCGTCCGCCATAGTCGATCCCCGCTTCGTAGCTCGATTTCCTTTTGCCAAAGTTCAATATATATATATATATATATATATATATATATATATATATCAGCACACACTCGTCAGTGCCCTTGTTGAACGATGAATCAATTCCCGATTTTCGTTCACGTGTCCTTTGTGAGGTCGCTGACCTGGGATATCTATATCTATATACAGGTACTCGACTCTCTCTCTTTCTATAAGGTCGAATTAATTTGCAGTTTTTGTTACACATATATATGTATATATATATATATGTAGAGGCGTCCGTGCCGCTTCTATAAGGCCGAATTAATCCGCAGTTTCTGTTCTTCCGTGTCGCTTCTATAAGGCCGAGTTAGTTCGCACTTTGCGACCCACAGTGTTGTAGGAGCTGTCACCCTTCATATCCAGAACTCCGAGTTAGTTCGTACTCTTCGTTTCTAAAATTCCGGATTAGACACCTCTTTCATGAAAGTAGGCTCTTCATTTTTAGAAGATAAGACTCCTCTTTCCTGAAAGTAGGATCTTCATTTCCAGAACTGCGAGTTGTTGCCCTTCGTATTTAGAACTCCGAGTTAGTTCGCACTTTTCGACACACGTGTTGCACGTGTTTCAGGTCTTCGTTTCGACAACTCCGAGTTTGTTCGCACTTTCTTCAAGATAAGCCGCGTCTTTCTTGAACGTGAGTTACGCGAGTTACGCGAGTTCCTCGTTTCCGGAACTGCGAGTTGGAATTGTTGTCTTTTCTCCATAATTGCGAGTTAGTTCGCACTTGTCGGTAACCATGCGGTATGTGTTGTAGAGGTCTTCATTTCCACAACTCCGAGTTAGTTTGCACTTTCACCAAGATAAGCCGCCTCTTCCTTCATCTCAAGGATTGCGAGTTGTTTCACTCCGCCACAGTAGTATTGTTTTCGTTCCCACAACTTCGAGTTAGTTCGCACTTTGCTTTCTCCTGGTCATCTGATTTAGTCTAGGCTCGGGCATATTGGTCTTGGGTTGGGAGTAAAATGACGTCTGCGAAGAACACATCGACAAGCGTTGGATCGTCTGCCCCCGGGAAGGGACGAGCTTTTCAGCAATTTACTCCTCATTATTTCCATACGAGGGATGCACAATGGTTTTTGGACTTCGTTGTTGAGGGGAGCCTTATTGGGCCAGTTGTTTTCATGCAGCACGCTTGCTTTCCAGACGCTGAGGGAGCAGCCGAGGCTTGCTCAAGCTGCACACGAACATCTTCTACGACTAGTGCAGACTGCCTTACAAGGGTGTCAAGGGTGTGATAGTGGCGATCAAGAGTTCCGCGGGGTACGGCTCGAACATGCTACGCTGCCGTCACTTCAAAGGGTTTTACGATGGCAAAAACAGGCGTCTTCCACCGCCAACGGAATATCTCGATCTTGCGCTGAAGGTGGCGAAAGAGCATCTGATTCTTCCGCGAGAATATGTTTTCCGGCTTCTGCCAGCCCATGAGGGGTCGTCCAACTTGGCTCAAGAAACCCCTGTGACGACAGTGGGGCACAAGAGTGTGATTCACGACACTGAGGGTCAGGGCGTGGGGCACGCGCACAGTATTCAGACGCAGGTCGACCCGGATGCTCCTGGGAACATGTCTAGCTTGCATTCTCCAGATGCAGGGACTCACTGGGTCGGTACTCCGAAAATCCTCAAGTTCGTCTGAGGGTGACACGTATTCGCTTTGAGATGAGGCAAGAAGAGAATCGGGCAATTCAGGTCAAGAGGTTGAAGGGATGGGCGTTGCGCGAGACAGCTCTGGCGGGGAGCCGACTTCTTTGGAGAAGAAGCGCAAGCGACAGAAGACGGTGCGAGAAGAGGTGGCGGAACAAACCCGACGCATGGAGAGGATGAAAGGATACTCGGAGCCGATGATTGGCGGGGATGACGGTGACGGCGGGGAACGTGCCTCGGGAAAGAGGACGCCAGGGATGCGTGGCAGAGAAGAACAAGGAGTCAAAAGGAGGCAGTCAAAGCAAGAGGGTGCAACAAGAAGTAAGAAAGCGAAGAGGCCCGGCGGTTTGACCATCCGTGAAGGACAAGCTATGGGTGAAGGAGATTCGGCTCGTCTAGGCATTGCCACTCCGAGAGAAACTTTAGAGAAATCTAAAAGGAAACTGGCAGCTGAAGAAGGCGATGGCCAGAAGAAACCTCGGAGGAGGAAGACTGCTGAGGGGACGAGTGGTGGCGAAAGGGCCGTCGGTAGGCCGTACGACGAAGCGGCAACGTTTTGGCTCGAATACGAGTGGAACAATGACGGTGAGGTCATGGAGAAGGAGCTCCCCATTCAACTGCTCATCGACCCCAGGAAGGTCTGCGACATCCCGCCGTGGAAAATATATTACAATCACCGTAGTCTCACTCGCGATGGTGTGGAGGACATCAAGGGTGCGATGCTAAGGCAATTCCATGAGGAAAAGAGGAAGATATGGACAAAAAACCCTTTGGTTCTGGCACCCATCTACAAGCCTGTGACGCATAAGCCGGAGAGAGCTCAGAGGGTTCATAAGGATGTCTTCAAGCCAGAGGACAAGGACAAGTACTTCTATTACCCTGTCAATGGACAACACACCGAGGGGATGTCTTCAAGCCAGAGGACAAGGACAAGTACTTCTATTACCCTGTCAACGGACAACACACCGTGGCTGCTGTGAAGGAGTTGGCCGGTGAGCCAATATTCGAATTGTGGAAGATGCACTCGTGGCCGGCGAGAGTCTTGTGGTTCTCCGATGAAGACTTTGGGGGGTATTTGCAGGTCAGTCTGATGGAGAACACAAGACATAAGATGTTTAAGCAGCGTACGCAGAAGGCCTCTTTCGAGGGCATGCGGGAGGTATGGGAGAATCAAGGAAGGTCGGTGGCCATTCAAGGGAACCCTTCCGGTAAGGAGGCCGAAAAACAAGCGTTTTTCAACTTCCATAAGTTGCTTCTGGGAAAAAGTCTGAACGGCGCTCACTGGACGATGGCACGTAAAGCGACAACGCTCGCCGACCAGGACCACGTCGCTGCCATTGGCAATGCATTGAGGCAGTGGATACCGCTCGTGACGGCCGGTGATGAGGTTTTCCGCAAAGGCATGGAGTTCTACGACAAATGGGTCGAGGGAAAGTTATTGGGTAGAGACGGGAAGATGCCCTTGTCGAAGCCGGGCAAATACATGCCCGACAAATCTCCGAGTCTTCAAGTAATTCCGGAAATGGGCGGGAAAGGGGCGGATGGTGAAACGAAGATGGGGTGGCTGGTCCGGGTCCCGCCTCCTCCGACCAAAAAGAAAACGCAATCGGACGACAAGTTTTTCGTCGTCGTGAAGGAGCCAGACATGTTCTGTTGGCAGTCTCTCGATGATATGACCGATGCCGAAAAACTATCGATTCTCGACGACATTCTCGCGCTGAGGGAAGTGTTCGTGCAATCGGCGGACGGGCATCTAAAACGTCAACATAAGCCTGGAATTAAAGGCATGGTCGTGACGAGGAAAGTGGACCTCGTGATGCTCCTCATGCTTCACTACATCTTGTTCCTTGAATCCGAGGAGGACGCAGAGGTTTGTCGGTATGGGAGCCAGTTTTTTCGGACCAAGGAACAACTTCTAGCGGAGTTCGCGCCGCGGGGCCTCACGAAACAGGTGTGGGTCGAATTGCGGAAGCATTTCCACGGCGCAGTGGAGTACGTGAACACTTGCAAACGCTGTCTTTCGTACGAGAAGGAGTCCCTTAACGAAACGAAGAAAATGTACGATGATAAGAGGTTCCCTAAATCTTTCGAGAAGTCCGTCCGCTCCATCTTGCGACGAACGGAGGAAGAAGTGCAAGACACGATCAGGGTCAGCGGGGATGTGAGACACATGAAATGGCACAAGATCAATCGGGTGACCAGCCTTATTCCTTTCTGTTGTCCAGCTTCCCAGACTCACACTCGTCTCATTGAGATCCATGAGATTATGTGACATTATGTGTGCAACTTGTACGTCCTCAATTTGTGTGATCCCACACTCCTCTCAGATTGGCAAGAAGACGATTTCGCCTCCTTGCAAGCAAGGCGTTTTCCAAACCCTATCGCCAAGGCACTGGGCACTCGTCGTCTTCTTCCCCTCTCGTTGGGAGCTCAGTTTCTTGAAAGGCATGGCCAAGCTTAGCGTTTATCACGCCAGGTCCGGTCAGGACAGGGAGGTAGGTGCGCCATGCACAAAGGAAGACCACTGTTCGGGAAGGCAATATGCTGGTCTAGGAGTATGATCGTCTGTACGTGGTTTTCAATGGCGAGAACCTGGCAGACAACATGATCGCAGTCTTCCCGGCCAGTATTCCATCGAAGTCTCCCCGTGCTAATGCTCCAAGTCCGTCCAAACCCGCGGCGACGGCCCGCTCGAAAGTTGCCTGTTCATCCGACCCGTCAAGACAAGCCGTGGCGTGTTTCAACGTGGCAGACGAGGACAAGTTCCCTTGTAGCCAGAGGGAGGAGGACGGCGTGACAAGTGTTCGAGGAGCTACTTACGGGGACATGGAGCGCAACCCAGCTCATCTAATTGGTCTTCTCGAGAACTTTTGCAGAGTTGGGCAAACTGTTTTTTTCTTCAGGAAGGCACACGAGTTTGTCGTGTGGGAACTCTTGCGCAGCGGTCGGAACATCGTTGCGTTAGAGGACGAGGCGAAGATGATCGATTACCTTTCCGAGTTCGTCAAGACACGCGTGGGGGACCCCCGTCACCATTGCTCTTTTGTCCAAACCACCGGCGAACGAAACTGGGATCCCAAACGTGATATGCATTGGAAATTGTCGGAGAAGAAAAGGATGGAGGTTTGGGAGTTCCTTTTCCAGCCAGGACCGCCTGCTCAGATCGACCTTGAATACAACCGACGGAGGAACCTGGTGTTCGGTGTGCTGAATGGTTACCACGATGCACCTAGGGAGTCTGTCTCAAACTTCCTGAAAAAGCTGGAGCACGTTTTCTTCTTGATGGTCGAACCGCTGAGTCACTGACCCTCGAAAACTACAATGCGTAGTTCGGCGAGGAGGACCCTTTCGACGCTGAGGACATGGAGGAGATGACCGACTCCGAAACCTTCGATTTCGAGTCCATGTCGCTTCCTCGGGTGGTTGCACAGGTTGATGATGAAGGGGAAGGTGTTCCTCGGAGATATAGCACGTCCCCTGTCGGTTTGAAGCGTGTGTTCGAGCGCAAAACAGTCGAGGACCAATCGTCTGATGACTGGGAAGAAGAGAGAGACTATGATTACGAACCTGGTGAGAAGCTCCCTAGGGACCATGATACATGGGAGAATGATAGGCTCTTTTTCTACGGGAAGCATCACTGGTTCACGCCGGAGGATATCTGGGGCCACAACGTCGTCTGGCACCCCAGGAAATTCCAACCTGCTGTAAAGATTGGAAAGTGGGTCATGGCAATGAAGGAAGCAGATGGGAAGTGGAGTGGCATGAACAGACTGGGACTGGGTCCATTTAAGAAAAAGGCGAGAGAAGCTCTGGTGGAGCATTTGAGTGTTATGAACCCCGATAGGAGCATGCCGGACATCAATGCGTATGTAGGCCAAAAGCTCGATGAGTTGTACACCAACAAAATGTTGGAGTTCTGAACGCCTTTCTACGCTCTCGAAACAGCAACGTCTCGTGGCATTGACTTGCGCATGCCACAACCTTTGTCGGGTGGTCAGCATCCAGAAGGCGGTGGGCGAGGTAATGGAGGAGACCACGCAGGACCCGGTGGAGGAGGTGATGGAGACGACTCAGGATCTGGTAGTGGCGAAGCAAAGGGGAAGGGGCCAGGCGAAACGTCGTCGGAACCAAAGGGCTCCGGCGGAAAACGGTCCGACGAAAAAGGGTCCGGCGGAAAGGGGTCCGGCGGAAAGGGGTCGGGCGGAAAGGGATCGGGCGGAAAGGGGTCGGGCGGAAAGGGGACGGGCAGAAAGCGTAGAGCGTTCGGGAGTCACGAGTCTAGCGGAACTGAAAGCCGCTGCGAAGGGAGTCGAGACTCGGATATGCGAGACGAGGCGGCCCTGAGGTCTTATCAAGTGCGAGTACATTCACACTTGTCTGCGAGGACTTTGTTTCACGACGTCGGCGAGCGCAAAGTGTTGGAGGGGCCCGCTGCAGGAGTGTTGGAGACCAGTCCTAGCGAGTATGATCGTTATGCTTCGGAGGGTGCATCCATCGATTTTAAGAGCAAGAGTGCACCGGATCCGAGGGAAGAGAAGCTGTCATAAGACGCGCATGTTGTGCACCGGGAAGAAGAAACTCAACATTGGCCGCCTCACGAAGTGCGGGAGGGGCTCGATGCAGGAGTGTTTGAGACCGGTGCTACCAAGCATCAGTGTCATGCTTTGGAGGGCGCGTCCGTGGACTTAGAGAGCAAGAGTACACCACCTCCGGGGAAAGGGGAGCTCTCACAGGAAGCGCATGTTGTGCAGCGGGAAGAGGAAACTCAACATTGGCCGCCTCACGAAGTGCGAGAGGGGCTCGATGTAAGAGTGTTTGAGACCGGTGCTAGCGAGCATCAGTGTCATGCTTCGGAGGGCGCGTCCGTCGATGTTGAGAGCAAGAGTGCAGCAGCTTTGGGGGAAGAGGACCTCTTACAGGAAGCGCATGCTGTGCAGTGGGATGTCGGGTTAGGCGGAGGTGAAAGCCACTGCGAAGGGAGTCGAGATTCCAACACGGGAGACGAGGCCACCCTGGGGTCTTATCAAGTGCGAGTAGATTCGCACTTGTCCGCAAGGACTTTGTTTCATGACGTTGAGGACAGTCCTCGCCGCAGTACGCAACACGCGTGTCCTGTTCAAGACGACACCTTGCTCCTGCACCTCTTGGAAGAGGGTGAACGTTTACAGAGTGCGGCGGCATCTGTTCAGGGGCCCTGTGTAGGAGTGTTGGAGACAGAGGCTAGTGAGTGCAAAGGTCATGCTTTGGAGGAGACGCATGCTGTGCAGCGGGATGAAGAGCTTCTCCAAGGCTCGTCAGGAAATGCCATCAACATCGGGGACACTGATTTGGTTTTGCACAGCGGGTCGCCACTGACGACGCAAGAGGGTGACATTAAGGGAGGTTAGTGGACGTTTGTGGAAGGCAAAGACCGTGGGCAGGAAGGACTTGCATGGACGTTTGGGGAAGCTCGGCTTCGTGGCGATGAGGAGGGCGAAGAAGAACCTGTGGTGGAAACTCGGTTTCATGATGATGAGGAAGGCGAAGAACCCGTAGGGGAAGCTCAACTTTTTGGCGGTGAGGTGTCAGCTCGGCTTCATGATGATGAGGCAGGCGAAGAAAGCGTGGGGGAAGCTCAGCTTTAGACCGGTGAGGTATCGGCTCGGCTTCATGCCGGTGAGGTATCGGCTCGTCAGATGGGTTCGAAGCGGACAGATCATGATTCTCCGTCCACCAGCTGCGGTGAAGAGCAAGGTGATCGAGCGTCTACCCTCAGTTCCGGTCGGGAAATGGTGCTGCATGAAGCAACGGAGTTGGTTAGCGACTCAGCTGCCATCGAGCTGGTTAGCGACTCACCGGTAGTCGAGATGCAAAACATCGAATCCTCCACGGACGTCGGCACAGTGGCGCGACAGGAGGCCAGTTCCCCTCGAAGGACTCCCGAGCACGGTAAGATTTGTGAACAGCAGCACTCGCGCATCTGTCGATGTTCAACTCTGTGGTGTTCCACACTAAATTGATGGGCTCATGTGGCTATTACCACTTCTTGAACAAAAGTTTGTGGGTTGTGGGTTGTTTTCTATGTTCTACAAGTGTGAGGTTGTCAATGTCCCTGTCGATGAAGCCTTCGCAAGCCATGCACGGAAATTCGTTTTCAGGGAGGTCATTGGCCGCTTTACCGAAGAAGTCCTCGTCAACTGTAGGGTTGTTTAAAAGGGTCCAGATGCCTCGCCTTTCCGGGAGAGATGTCACAGTTCTGAAGGCTTGTGGAATAGATAAGGAGGAAGCTTTGCGGAAACATTTGTCTGCGTCTATCGAAAGCGATACTGCTTTGTCTGATGGGTCTGATAACGACGCCAGACGGGGTACTGTCAAAGACGCGTGTCCTAAGTACGTTGCCAAAGACACATTCAGCAGTCGGGGTTATAAATTTTCTACAAAAATGGTGCCCTGGTGGTTTTGGCGGCTCCTCACACTTGTTTTTGGGTGTTTGTGCAGCTGCGGCGACATCATCTTTTCGCGTGTCGTTGCCTACTGAGGAGCTTAGCGGTGCAAACTTGAGAATGTTGCAGGAGGTCTGCAGAGATTTCAGCAACGACCACGAGGTGGTTTCCTCGATTCGCAAAGGGACCAGTTCTATTGTGTTGAGCAGAAAAAATTGTCAGACTCTTGTTCAGGGGGGGTGGCTTTGCGATGAGGTGGTGGAGTCCTACTTGGCCTTGGTTGGCAATGCTACGTTGTCGGGGTGTCCCTCTGTTTATATTTTCAGTACGTTTGTCTATGCGGAGCTCGTCGATGAGGGATGTCAACATGATAGGGTTTCGAGATTGACAAAAAATGTCAACATTTTTGCGTACGATATGTTAATCATTTGTTTATAAAAATTGAGTGCACTGGACCCTATTATGCGTTCGCGAAGGAGGGATGGAGTACTACGACTCCGTCCTACAAGAGGATGATGTTTTTTCTTCCAGTGTGCTTGCGAACTTCATGAAATACCTATATGACGCAGCACTTCGTCAATTTGGTCGACACACGAAACTGAATCTGTGAGAGCCCAAGGAAGTTGTTCATGGTGTCCCTCAACAGTCGGACGGGTCGAGCTGCGGTGTTTTCATGCTCGCATTCGTTTCATTTCTGGCACGCGGTCATTCACCTCCAGTTCCGATAGGCCAAAGCGACATTCCGAACATCAGGCTGAGGATGGCGGTGAACATAATCCGAGGCTCAGGATAATATTCCTGTTTTGAAAATACGCAACGTTTTTTATTCGCAAGGCCATAAACAAAAGTGCGAATATATTCCCACTTAGTCTAGCAGTCGGGCGGCTCGAGCTGTAATGTTATTTTGATGAGATAGAGGATTGCAGTGGATGCATCTATCAAGTGCACACTTAGATGTCGATGTGAATATCCCAGCCTCGTGCTGCAGTATTTTTTTAGGGTTCTTCATTTCGACGAATCTGACAACTTTACACGTGGGATTTTCTTTGACTTTCTTGGGTTTTTAGTTTTTCGGATGCAAATGGCGTAGCCTCGTGCAGCCTGTTTTTTAGGACCCCACCAGCGCCGTGCTGCCTTCGTTTGTTTTCAAGTTATTCTCATTCTTTGCCGCCCATCATCGTTTAGAGGGTTGCAGCGGACGCTTAGGTGAAGTGAACGCTTAGATGTCGATGTGAATATCCCAACCACATGGTGCAGTATCTTTTAAGTAGTTGCTTAAATATCGGATGTGAATATCCCACCTTCGTGCTGCCTTTGTTTGTTTTCGGGTTATTATCCTTATTTCCTGTATGACTGCGGCAGCGTCGTGCTGCCTTTATTCGTTTCCAGGTTGTGCTCCTGTGTTGCTCATGAGAAATATTTGTCGTCTTGTGGACATTCTTTACACTCATGCTCGTAGGACTAGATACTCTGGTTCATTTAGAAGATGTTGGTGAAAGACATAAGTTATTTATTTCTGGTCGCCAAATTGTTTCGTGCTTATGTCAAAGTTCATTTAGCAAGATGTTGGTGAAAAATATCAATGATTACTTCTTGGTCGCCAAATTGTTTCGTGCTTGTCTTTTTCTTACGTGAGACTTTACGGTTTGAAAGACCCCCCTACCCCCACCCCCCGTCTCCGCGTACCACCCCATTTTTTCGGTTCACCCCCTCTGCTGTGCCCTCCTCCCCGTAACCACCCTCCTTCTTGTCTCCAGCGAATGTTGACTGTTGCTTTCATATGACAATTGCGAACTTATTCGCAATTCGAAAATCAATTCTCGCAGAATATATGTGTGCTTGACGTTATTTTATGGACTCCACAAAATTTAGTGGTACAGTAAATGATCACCAATTTTGATATCGCCAGAATACATGTCGTAGTCTCCACTGAATGCTGACTGTTCTTTCCGTATGACAAATGCGAACATATTCGCAATTTAGAAGCCATATATTTGTGATAAGACCGTTCATATCTATAAATTTTTCAGAATTATTACCTTTTGTGTTTTCACCAGAAATTTGTTCAAAGCTGCAAGTTCACCAGAAATGATCATCAGTTGTGTTATCGCCAGACTGTATGTGTGCTTGACCCCTGTGCTTCAACGTTGTTTGTCGCTCAAGGATCGATATGCGGCATTCGCCAAAATTGATGATTGCCAAAAATTGTTACCTTCTGCGTTGTCACCAGAAGACCGATCATTTATGCAAGTTCGCAAAAAATAATATTTTGCCGAAATTATTACCTTCTGTCTTATCGAAAAAAATGGATAAATCGTGAAAAAGATTGTCCTTTGTGTTATGTCTTGCCAATAGTGAAATATGAATGATTTTCAATTTTTTTTTAAAAACTCATTGAAGAGATCACGAACAAATCTATCGACCCTCCAATTTGGAGGGTCTGTGACCCATTCTTCGGAGTGCGAAAAACTGCTAAAGTTGTAGAACTTTCCCTGTTGGCCCGCAAATGGCATTGTAGCAGAACTCGAACGTGCCCCAAATTGACCCGAAATCATTTCTTTAAATATTTTTGATATTTTCCCTGAAAGGACCACGAACAAATCTACAAACCCCCAAATTTTTAGAATTTTCTGTGAATTCTTCTAAGTGTGAAAAATTGCCAAAGTTCCCGCAGTCAAATTGCGAGACTCGGTCCGCCATTTCGGCCTATGGGCGCCGCCCTCCCTAAGAACCCGCTGGAACTCACCGGGGGGGGACTATTTCCTGTTGTCGGAGGGAGTGGTGGTTTAAAGCGCCGCCTCACCTTTTTCGACGATGCACTGCGCGAGAGCATGTGCGAATTGATTCGTAGTTCAAAATTATTTTCTCTACCTTTGCTCGAGGGAATTTTTAACTGGCTTACAACGCCTCCTCACGTCTTCTGGCTTCCGCTTTTAGCCTTTTGCAATTTTCGCTAAAAGGGGTGCACGAAGCCTTGACGTATCACTAAAAGGGGTGCACGACGTCTTGACATCTCGCTACAAGGGTTGCAAAAACATTTGATGTGCACTCGTCGTCGTCATTTTTGCGATTCCCGATGCCCATTCCTTTTCGCAAAAAGAGGTCGACGCCGGGTCTGCCATGGGTGCGTGAGTGTGAAATGTAGTTGGAATCTAATACAATGCAAAAATGACCGTTAACAACGAATAATAATTGTTGGCGCCTGTGCCGTGAGCTTACACTCGCCTTTATGTTATGTCTGATGCTGGACCTTTAAAATGTGTGATGCATAACCCCTGCGCTTTGATTTTATTTCTCGCTTAACTTTCTTTTTGACGGATGAAGATGCACCAGAATTGCAATGATTCACATCAGATTCTGTGACAGTGGGAACTGTACGATGGCAAGGTCCTTATGTGCGGAATGTTTTCGAATTTGAAAGTGGGTACTCCAGCTTTGCTGGCACCCTCTCCCACAAAAGGCATTATAACATAACTCAAACGTACACCAAATTGGCGTGGCGATTGTTTGGAGGTCGAAATGATTTTTTTAAATATTTTTTATATTTTTCTTGGAAGGACCATGGGCAAATCTACGAACCCTCGAATTTTTAGAATTTATGTGAACTCTTCTAAGCGAGAAAAATTGGCAAAGTTGTCGATGTCAAATTGCGAGACTAGGCCCGTCGTTTCGGCCTTCGGTCGCCACCCTCCCTAAAAACCCGTCGTAACTCGTTGACTTGCCGTGAGGGCACGGGTGCGCAGCCCGAAGTTTGTATATGCTTGATTGATAAACAGAGAGAGAGAGAGAGGGAGAGAGAGAGAGAGAGAGAGAGAGAGAGAGAGAGAGAGAGCAAGTCCGAAGTGTCATTTCAACCACTGCCCAAGCCTGAGCACTTTCATCGGACGAAAGTGTCGTTTCAACCACTGCCCAAGCCTGAGCACTTTCATCGGACGAAAGTGTCGTTTCAACCACTGCCCAAGCCTGCGCACTTTCGTCGGACTTTTCAGCCCCTGTCCCCGGCCCCGCATGCCCTTTCCATTTGCCCCTG